TTAATAATCTAATAATTTCTCTTTTTAAATAATAATTATTTATTCCTTATATATAATTCTTTTGCACAATTAACTGTATTATTAAACTTTTTTCTAATCAATTAAAATAAATCTATACATTCTTATATTTTATTTTATTTAAACTTATATTTTTCCGAATAATTAACTACATAAATAATCGATAATATAACTCTATATAAATTAACTTCGAAAACAGGATTATTCTATTCAAAAAGATATTAAAATATAATAAAAACTCTTTTCATTTCTTCAAAATCATCTATGAAAGGTACATATTAAAACAATTTTGAATAAGGCTCAATAATTTTTAAGTTTTCTCTAATAAAATCGTTATTATTAATAATATCATCTGTTAGTTTTGTACTCATTAAAGCATATGTAGTATATAAATTTTCTGCTGTTCCTTTTTCATCAAAATCATTATCATTTTTATTAAGAATAATTTTTTATACACTTTTATAAAATTAAATAAAAACTTATTGGTCAATATTACAAAATCTTACAATAGTATTAATATAAAAAAGACAATTTCTTAATAAATATTCATTAGTATATAAAATATCATCATTTCTATAAAAAAACTAGTTTACCTATTTACTTACTATCGAATAACATTTATTATCATATTTAATATAGTAATTTATATATCCAACGCAAATTTCAATAACATCATAGTTTAAATTCTATTCTTTTTCTAAATAATACTAAATTAAAGTTTACCATACTCCCTTAAAAGTAGCAAAAATTTTATCTTTATTATCCTTATAGAGGAATTTTAAGCATTCTAACTATCTATCTATTAATAATTATTAATGTAAAAATAAATTACTTTATATATTTTAAAAAATCTTCTTATATATTTTATTAAAATAATTCCTTTTTATAACTGGGTGCATTTTCCTTAATAAATATCCTAGCCTTTCCATTATTTCTTAATTGTCCTAATTAAAGAAATCTGTTTTTGAAATTTATCTAAAATAAATACTGATTATTGGATTTAATTCTATTTGAAATTCTTCTTTTAGTTTTTGGTCGTTTTCGTCATATTCTTAAGGAAATTCTAATTAAAAATATTTCTATAGACCCAAAATTATTTAAGTTAGACTTTAT